GGACGAAGCGGCGACGGGGCGGCGACTGCGACAATGCAGCCGCCAGACCGACAACCAGGATAAGACGACGGGCGGCGACCGGGCGTCGACGGGGCAGCGACGGCGACAACATAGCTGCCAGACCGACAGACAGCCCCAGACGACGGGCGGCTACAAGGCGGCGACGGCGATAGCAGAGCTGCCAGACCAACAGCCCCCCACCGGTCCATTTTCCAGACATAGCACTCCCTAAGTGCAAGCGTGTTCGGGGAAAATTAACAATCCCACAAGCCTTCTGGGCGGAGGTGGTCTAGGGCGGATTTTCTTCCAACCCCTCCCTCTCCCCCTTCAGGGAAGGGTTTATCATTGTTCCTTATCAATATGCACCCCCTCTCCCACCCAGCCGGCGGCCAACCCGGAGCCATGCAGACTCCATGAGGGCCCGCCCCCCACCATCCCTGTCAAAAGACAATACAAACCGCACTCTGCTTCCACATTTGGAGCATGCGCGGCCAACCCGATGCGCCCCCCCACCATCCTTGCCAAAAAACCATGCAGAGTACACGGGGGCAAAGTCTTGAGTCATGTTGGTGACGCCCGCGAGCACTTTGTACTGTTCCAAAACATCCTGTGGTGTTGGGTCCTCGTTTTGAAGAGACAGCGCCCCGTGTTCCTTCCTTCCCGCTGCCCCCTCCCTCCTCCCATCGTCGTCGTCGTCGTCGTCGTCATCGTCATCATCATCATCATCATCATCATCATCATCATCATCATCATCATCATCATCAGCATCATCATCAGCATCAGCATCAGCATGAGCATCATCATCATCAGCATCAGCATCAGCATCATCATCACCACCACCATCATCACCATCATCATCATCATCATCATCATCATCATCATCATCGTCATCGTCATCAGCCTCATCATCGCAATGCCCATAATCATCCTCATGAGCATGGCCGTCATCGCCATCATCACCATCATCACCATCACCACCACCATCATCATCACCACCACCATGGCCATCACCCCCACCATCGTCATCTTCAGCAGCGTTATCGTCACCACTATCGCCATGAGCTTCAACACGCCCCTCACACGTTTCGTGGCCCCATATGCAGCTACACCGAAGGCCCCAGCGGCAGGGTTCGCATGCGTCCTCCCGCCCACTTCGGCACACCCCTCAAACGCTTCAGGGCCGCATAGGGAGCTCCGCCGAAGGCCCCAGTAATAGGGTTCGCACCCATTTCGGCACACCCCTCAAACGGCTCGTGGCCCCATAGGGAGCTCCACCGAAGGCCCCAGTGGCAGGGCTCCCCCCGCCAATTTCGGCGCACCCCTCACACGCTTCGTGGCCCCGTGGGGAGCTCCACCGAAGGCCCCAGTGGCAGGGCGCGCATGCCTCCCATCGCCCACTTCGGCACACCCCTCGCACGCTACGCGGCCCCAATAGGGAGCTCCGCCGAACGCCCCAGTAATAGAATGCGCACCCATGTCGGCACTCCCCTCACACGGCTCGTGGCCCCATAGGGAGCTCCACCGAAGGCCCCAGTGGCAGGGTTCGAATGGGTCCCCCCGCTCGTTTCGGCACACCCCTCACACGGTTCGCGGCCCCATAGGGAGCTCCCAGGGTTCGCATGCATCCCCCCGCCCATTTCGGCATGCCACACGCTTCGTGGCCCCATAGGGAGCTCCACCGAAGGCCGCAGTGGCAGGGTTCGCATGCGTCCCCGCGCCCTCTTTGGCACGACCCTCGGCCCCATTGGGAGCCCCACCGAAGGCCTCAGTGGCAGGGTTCGCATGCGTCCCCCCGCCCATTTCGGCACAACTCTCACACGCTACGCGGCCCCAATAGGGAGCTCCACCGAAGGCCCCAGTGGGAAAGTTCGCATGGCACCGCCGCCCCATTTCGGCACACACCTCACTGAAGGCCCCAATGAGGACGTTCGCAGGAGTCCTCCCGACTCATGTAGGCACAAACTTCACACGTTTCGTGGCAGAAGCCTATACCGAGTGCGCTACTCGGAGTTTGCGCGCCCCCCTCCTTCGTCCCATCTTCCTCGCGGCACTCACAGCTGCATATGGTTGAGCCCTTCGTCAGGCAAGTTGCTGACAGGGCCGGCGGGAGTGTCAGCAGATTCCCTTCTGTGAGCAGGGCGACCATCCCTGACGCAAAAACGATACAGGGTGCACCTCGCGGCAAAATCTGGATCATGCGCGCCAATCCCGCGATCACTGCCAAGTGGTCTTTGAAAGGGACGGCGGGGGTGGTGGCGCATGGCCTGCTGTGCGCATGCCCACCAGACATAATGATGGGCATTGGTTTTCGACAGGGATGGCGGGGGACGACATGTTTCCTGATGTGTGCTGTCACGTGCGTAGGCGCACCTGACGCACTCTGCACGTGCCCCGAACGTGGCGCACCTGGCGCGGCTGGAGTGTGCGGCACACCTGGCGCACTCGGAGCACGTGGCGCATCTGGCGCATCAGGCGTGCCTGGCACGCTCGGGCCCCAGGGGTGCCTGGCGCGCGTGACGCCCCTGGCACGCGTGGCGCACCTCGCCCAAGCGTCGCGCACCTCGCCCAAGCGTCGCGCACCTGGGGTCGGCTTTGGTTCCCAGTAGCTGTCCATCCAAAAACGACCGCTGAACATGCTCAGGCACGGGCGTTGCTTATGTGTTGGGAGGGGGGTCGGAGTGAGCTAGACGGCTTGCGGGCGTGTGGGTAGCTTGATCGCTGTTCCCTATTCATAAAAACTCCCTCCCCCACCTGGCCGGCAGCCAACCCAACCCGGAACCATGCGGGCACCCCCCCCACCATCCCTGCCAGAAAAGAATACAAAATGCACATTGCGGGGCCCACCCTGCCAACACCCTCCACAATCCCTGTCAAAAACAATACGTGGTGCACATTGCACCCAAATCTGGACAGTGCGCTGGCGCCCCGTGAGCGTATTGCTTATTGACAAGGATGGCGGGGCACCCTTTGTGAAGCCGCTTTGTGCAGGACCACCATCCGTGTCAAAAACAATGCAATGCACACGTTTGGGACAACGTCGTGGGTATTGTGCTGGCCACCCGCGATCACTTTGCACAGTTTTTTGACAGGGACGGCGGTGGTGCTCACATGATGATGCTTGCTGTGCGCATAACCCACCTCAGCATCTGGACCTTGCGGACGGGGGGGCATCACTTTTTTACACAGATTGCACACCAACCGCATGTGGAGCCCGCGGCGAGCGTCGCGCACCTGGCGTCCACTTTGGTTCCCAGTGGCTGTCCATCTAGTGGCGAGCCCTGGCTATGCCGAGACTCCGATGCCAAAGATGTGGTGGGAGGGCGGGTGGGAGTGAGCTAGACGGCTTGCGTGCGGAGAGGGTGTCTTGATCACTGTTCCCTGTTAATAAACACCCCCTCCCCCACCAGGCCGGCAGCCAACCCGGAGCCATGCGCACATTATGAGGGCCCCTCCCCCCCCCACACCATCCCTACCAAAAGACAATACAAAACTCACTCTGCCTCCAAATTCGGAGCATGCGCAACCAACCCGATGTGGCCCCCCCACCATCCCTGTCAAAAAACGATATACAATACACTCTGGGGCAAAGTCTGGAATCATGTTCATGAGGCCCGCGGGCATTTTTGATTTATTTTCGACAGGGGCGGATGGAGTGTTAGCATATTGCCTGCTGCGCGCAGGGCTTCCATCCCTGACAAACGCACAATACGAAATGCACCTCGCGGCTAAATGTGGATCGTGCGCGGTCACCCCGCGATCAGGGACGGCGGGGGTCCTGCTGTGCGCAGGCCCACCAGACACAATGATGGGCATTGATTTTCGACAGGAATGGTGGAGGCCGACATGTTTCCCGATGTGTGCTGTCACGTGCGCAGGCGCACGTGACACACTCTGCACGTGCCCCGAACGTGGCGCACCTGGCGCGGCTGGAGGTGGCATCTGGCGCATTAGGCGTGTCTGGCCCGCTCGGGCCGCAGGGGTGCCTGGCGCGCGTGGCGCCCCTGGCACGCGTGGCGCACCTCGCCCAAGCGTCGCGCACCTGGGGCCGGCTTTGGTTGCCAGTAGCTGTCCATCCAAAGACGACCGCGGAACATGCTGAGGCTCGGGTGTTACTGATGTGTTGGGAGGGCAGGTGGGAGTGAGCTGGACGGCTTGCTATCTGGAGGGTGTCTTGACCCCTCCCCCTACCCCCAAGATAACTAAGAAGGCCTTGGAGAGCCCAACATGACCTCCAAGATGGTCCAATATAGCCAAAGCTGGCTCAATATGGCTCCCAAGATGCTGCAAGAGGCCCCAAGACAGCCCCAAGACGGCTCCGAGTGGCCACGGAGCCTCCCCAGGAGGCCAAAATGGTTAAAAAAAAACATGGGGAAATCACTGAGCTGTTGCCTTCTCGCCTTTTCGCTTCCGATGGCCCTCCGAGGCCCAAAGCCAGCTCCAAGAGGGCCCCTGAGGGTCCCAAGAGAGGCCCGAGAGAGCCCGAAGGCGGCCCCAAGAGCGCCCAAGAACGCCCCAAGAGCGCACCAAGAGGAGCCTACAAGGCGAGATGTGGGGCTCCCGAGGGGGACCGTATTTGGAGCTTCCATTTTGTTTCAGCGATCTCCTCCAAGATGGCCCCAAGAGCGCACCAAAGGCTCCCTAGAGCGCCTCAAGAAGGCCCAAAGAGGAGCCCAGGAGGCCCCGAGAGACGCCCAAGAGGCCTCGACGAGGCTCCCAAGAGACTCCCAAGAGGTCCCAAGAGGCCCCCCGAGGCACCTAAGAGGCTCCGAGAGGCCCCCGGGACCGCCAAGAGGCCCCCAAGACGCTCCAAGAGGCCTCCGACAAGCTTCCAAGAGACATCCGAGGAGGCTCTGACAGGCAACTCGCCTGGGCATCGTTTCTTGATGGGCGGTGGGGACACGCGCAGCGTCAAGAAGTTCATTCGTGTGCAACTGTGTATCTGTGCAGGTACACAGATGCATACACACATATCTACACGCGTGTACGCTCCCAACGCCCGCCTCGGCGTCCTTTCGGGCCTTGGTCTGCGCCTTGCGGGACTCTGCCTCCTGCAGCGCAGCGTTGAACTGGTCCGAGTAGTGCTGCCTCCGCGGCCTCCTCCGCCCCCTCCTCCTCATGTTCTTCCTCTTTCTCGTCCTCCTCCTCCTCCTCCTCCTCCGCCCCCTCCTCCTCATTCTCCCCCACCGCCGTCCGCATGCTCCTTCCGCAGGGATCCTGGAAGGATGGGAGGATCGAGATTCGATGATCGAGATAATTGGGCGAGGTTTTTGGGCGTCTTACCCCCCCCCCCTAGCGAAGTCCAAGAGCTCCTCTGATCCTCCTCATGGTAGCACTCCTCCTCCCATCCATCCTTGTGGTGGGCCCTGCTCCACGGCCTCCCAAAACCAATCCTCCTCCCCTTCTTGCGACTCTTCTTCGGCATGCGCCATGGCGGACTGCTGCTTCTCCTCCTCCAACTTTGGAGGCGCTCCTCGTCGGAGTGCTCCTCCACCTCCTCCTACGAGCACTCCTCCTGTGATTACGCCGAGGAGTCCACCTGAAAGGAATAGTCCTCCTCCTCCTCCTCCTCCTCCTCCACCTCATCCTAAGAATCCTCCTCCTAGGAATCCTCCTCCACCTCAGAGCAATCCTCGTCGTCCTCCTCCTCCTCCTCCCCCCACTGATCCTTGTCACTTATATGACTGATCCTCGTGCTACTTTTCCTCAGTCGTGTTCGTTGTTGTATACGGCCGTCGCATTGCCAAGATCCGCCACCGTGGCACGAAGTGGACTGCCCTCGGGTCCTTTGCGGAATCCCTGAGGCCTCACTTCTCAATCCTGGAGATGATTTCGCTGGCATCACCTTTACATTCTCTTATCTTCTGGGGCTTCTCGCGTGCCTCCTGGGCCCCGTCGCGGCGTCCCGCGTCAATTTCTCGGGGCCGGCACGTCCCCAGGACGAGCGGGCCCCAAGAGACCGCCCAGAGGGTCCGGGAGGGCCCCGCATCAGCGCATGATCGGCCCAAGACGTCCGAGATGGCCACAAGACGGCCCAGTAAGCCTTCGGGGCGCCCCGAGGAAGGGAGGGAGGGCCTGGCTTGCCTCTTGTCAGATCTGGGTGGAGCTGCGCCCGGAGCCCCCTTGGACGGGGCCACCCCTCCCGGGCCCGGCCGGGCATGGAGGAGGGCATGCCGGCGCAGGAGACAGGCGCCGCCGGGAGCGCAGGGCCGCGGCCGCCTGCGCGCAATGCGCTCGGCGAGGGCGGCCTTCTCGAGCTCCGCTGCCTGAGGACGGGGCGGGCTCGCGCGGGAGGGAGGGCGTCATCCCCACCCCCTCGTCCCAGAACACCTCCCCCTCCTTCCCCCACCTCCTCCTCCTCCTGCTGCTGCTCGTGTTCCTCGGATGTCCCTCCTTCTCGTCCTACCTCCTCCTAGCTTCCCTCTCCCCCAGAGGGCCCCGCTGCGAGTCTTCGTCCTAGGAGGCCGAAAGACGGCGTCCACGTGCTTGAACTCATCGCTGATGGCATCTACAGTAGGAGCTCGACCACACGAGACCATCCACAAGAAACCCAACCCTGAGGCCCCAGGATGTCCATTGATTATTGGTGTGGGAACGTCACGCTTTCCAAAGAAAGCAGTCGAAACCCAAGAAACTCAGGGCACCCTGGAGGCAAGCAGGGTGCTTCTTGGCATGGATTTCCGCTGTACTCTTCCAGCCGATCGTAGTGCTCCGCTGCGGTTGAGCGTGTCTTTCGCTCATCGCCACGGCGACAGCGAGAGTCCGTCTCTGCCCGCGGGCGACAGCGCGGGGCAGCGACTGGGAGGACGAGGGCGACGCCAACGACGGTGACGACCACGGCGACCAGGACCTCCAAGCAGCTCCGATCATATCCCGAGCCGCGACCGAACAACAACGCAACGCCGACGGCGACGAATGCCAGCTCATGAGTAACGAATCCGCGGGGGGCGCGCGTTTAAAGAAATACTTCCCCTGCTTGGTCGAATCGCGGGATGGCGCCCGCCACGTTGAAAATCAACGGGGCGGCGCCGGTGATTAGAGCAGACGCCTGGCCGCCAACGAGGGGCAAGGGGGGAGCGTTTGGAAGCAAAGCCAAGCCAGGGTGCCCCCCTTTCTGTCGAACCGATGCGGGCCTGCGGGCAAGGCGGGCTGGACGAAAGTGGTGCGCAGCAAAGGGGGGATTTGCCAACCAGCTTACGCCACCGATTTTCCAAACGCCTCCTGGCGCCGAAAGCGGCCATGCGTCGAGGACTAGCCCCTCGGCGGGGCGACCGGAAACAGCTTCGCGCAGCAGGCTTTGTAACCCCCCTTTTCCTTCCCCAGCCTTTCGTCCGACTCGAGCAAGGCGGGTGGTCCTCCTCCCCACCTCTGTCGCCGTCGTCGCCGCCGTCCCCCGCCCTGCCTGCGCCCGTTTCCACCGGCCGCTCTCTTCGTCGACGACGACGACGACGACGGGAGGAGGACGAGGACGACACACGGCGGACGGCAGACGGCGACGGCGGCGACGACGACGTCGCACTGCGGATGGCCGATGGGGGGGTGGCTGCGCAGGCCCGCTGTCGACGACGACGACGACGATGACGACGACGACGACGAAGGCGACGACGACAAGGACGACGAACAAGTCGACGACGATGACGACGACGCCTGAGAGGGGGAACGCACATTCGCCTCGGATGTGTACGATCCTTAAAAAACAATTTCTATACGACAGGCAGTCGTTTTGAGGCTGTCATGCAGGGGGGTACACGATCCCCTCGGCGGCGCCAGCGACGACCCCCTGGCGCGAGTGATTAAAAAACAAGTTCGCGCCCCGCGGTGTCTATTCATCAGTTCTGGGGGGGGCACCCTTTTGTAATCGCAAGCTGACATTGCGTCGCCGACTACGCCGACGACGACGAAGGCGGCGGCAACTGCGACACGGCGAAGATAGAGATGGCGACAACGACGACGAGCGCGCTGACCGACGACCTGCGACGACGGCGACTACGGCGCCGACCGCGACAACGGCGACGACGGCGGCGGCGACGCAGGCGACGGTGACAACAACAACGGCGGTTTCGACGACGCAGGCGAGGGCAATCGCGGCGGCGACGACGAAGATGACGACCACGTCGGCTGCGAGGGCGGCCGCGCCAGGGCACTGCAGGCACCACCGGAACGCGCTGGGCGAGGCGCAGATGCTGGAAGGCAACGCGAGGGCGAGGGAAATTCCAAGAACCAACGACGCCCTCGGAAAGCCTCCTGACGAGCACCCCGAGGGCGAGGGAGCCCCCAGGCATCAACGACCGCCAACTCCCGAACAGCTCTTTACCTCGTCGCGCGGCAGAGGCCATGCGCACGCGCGCTTGGGGCAAGCCGAGCGAGACGGCATCGCGAAGTGATCGGCGGCAGCCGAGCGGGAAGAAGGGAAGGCGGGAGCGGCCGCGGGGCGCGGGGAGGGCGCCGTCGACCCGTACAGTGAGGATCTGCGATGAGGATTCAAGGGCCGCGGAAGGCCACACCGAAGCTTTTCGAGCGGGGCGCGGTCAACGAAAGTGGCCAGGGCTGGGCCGAGGAGGCAAGGATGCCAGGGTACCCTGGTTGGTAGTCCCCAAAAGTGATGGCGACAGTACCCAGGTGGTGAGTCTCGGGCGACTTGGTGTCACCACCCTGTATTGGGGCCTCGCGTGCCGCTTCGAGGGTGATGGGGTCCGGGAGTCACAAGACCCGGCGGGGACGCCGCGTTCCAAAACCCGGCGGTGACTCTTCGGGGATTCCAGGCCACCACCTGATGTCTCACACCCTGGTCAGGGGGCTCCCAACCTCGGGAACGTTGCCCATCCTCACGATGCGGGCTGGCCGTAGGAGAGCGGGCGGCCCCCGCGCAAACCACAGGACACCCCTGCGAGAGGCGGCGAGGAGCGCTGGCGGCGCGGCGAGCACGGCGAACGCGCGCGTCGGCGGCGCGCGGAGCGGCCGACAGGTCCACGCACCGCCGCTCCTGCGCCCGGGCGGCCTCCTCCCCGCGCAGCCGCTGGGCCTCCGGGGCGCGGCCGGCGCTGCCTTTCGCCACCGCCCGTCGTCGTCGACATCGTAGTCGGTCGTTGCTCGCTGTCGCGGTCGTCCACGTCGCAGTTGCCGTCGGCGTCGCCATCGCCGCCGCCGCCGTGTCTGCCCACGCGATCCAGAGCTCTCGGAGCATTTTGTTCGGAGCCCGGGGCCGATTCGATCGGCTGTGCCTCGTCGAGGGTGCTCCGGGAAAACCAGAGCCGCCCTCAACGGCAGCCTGAAGCCCGAGCTGTGCTCCAGCCGCCGTCGCTCGTCGTCGGGGTCATAGTCGTCGTCGATGCTCGTCGCTCGGCGCAGTCCGCTCGTCGTCGTCGTGGTCAGCGTCGTCAGCGGCGTCGTCAGCGTCGTCGTCGTCGTCGTCGTCGTCGTCGTTGTCAGCGTCGTCCTCCGCCAGATGGGGGCAAAACGTTGGCTCACACATTATATGTTGTCAGTGCCAACGCAGGCGGTCATGGAGCCGCGGGGGCCGGAAAAGCGGGGCAGACAATCCACGAGGCGGTTTCGCCGCGCAGTCTAGGGTTCTCGAGAGATTGCCGCGCTGCTCGAGCCTCTCGCGCGAGATGAACGCGAAATCACCTGAACGTCTGTATGCAACACGCAATGATCGCCCGCGTGCCCCACGGCACCGCCTCTCATGGGCCTGGCGGCCAGCAGATACGTGCCGCCCCCGCACAGGGGGTGACATCTTTCACGCAGAAATGGCCGATGCGGGCAATAGGGAACGACACTCGGTTTTCTGCCGTACGGCTGCGCTTGCGACACGGGCTGGGCCTGGGGAGCGGAAAGCACGCACAACCCCAACACGGCGGATCAACTTGCAGCAGTGACTTTGCGCCGTGCTGAAGCCACCACAGCACTTCGCCCTCTCGCGCGCGCGCGACGTGCGCCGCGTCCCGCTCATGTCGCCTGTGCTGCAACGTGGACCACAAACCATCCATGTTGAAAGAAGAAGGACAGCCTGGGATCGCCATCGGGGCGATTGCAGGGGATCGGAGGTACTGTGCACTTCGGATGGGAGAAGGCCCCATGGAAAAACGGAGAAGGCGTGCCAGCGCGAACCAAGACAGCCAGATCGAACGATTCGACGGGCCCCGCCTTTTCCGACCCTTCCCCCCATAAACAGGCGTGGCCTTTGTGGGCCCCGGAAACGGCAGGGCCGTTTTTTCACCGTTTCCAGAAAAATGTCGCTTGGAAAAAGAAACGGCAAAAAAACGGCGACCGGGAACGGTACAAAAACGGCTCCAAGATTGGAGCTGGAGTCGGAAGCGGTAAACAAACGGCGACCGAACCGGTAACAACAACGGCGTCGGAACCGACAACAAAAACGGCAAGACGGAACCGGTAACAGAAACGGCCCTGTCGTTTCCAGGGCCCACCAGAGGCGTGGCACACCTTGACATTTGGGATTGGACCACGTTCCCACCCAGCGAACGGCAGGCACTCGCGCGCGGCCCCGTTTTTCCGACGGCTGGGCGAAGGGGCGTCTACGCCGGCAGCGCAGAGGCGGGCACGGGGCTGTGGGCAATCTTTCCGCGGCGCTGCGGCGGGGAGACCATTTGGCCTTCTTCCGCTGCCAGGCAGCCCAGCGAGCGAAGCAGGCGCCGCGCCCCCGCAGGAACGCCACTCTCGAGCGAATGGTCCACGGAGCCCGGGCGAGGGCGACGCGTCACCCGCCCGCGCGAGGCTCCCCAACTCGGCGAGTGAGAGCTGCGAGCCGCGCCGCAGCGACAGCGCCACCGTCAGGCGACATCTGCACGGCGCCGAAGCGAAGAGCGGCATCTCTGCGTCCGTTCGCACGCGGCCACTTTGGCGATGGAGCAATGCGCGCCGCGCCCCAGCAGGAACCCCTTCTCCAGGAAGAACAATCAGTCACTACGTGGAGCTCCCCATGTGTGCATCCCTGTTTTAAACAAGTAATATTGTATCTGGGATATTTTAATGAGCGTCTAACCATATGAACCATATGAGCCACAAGCGGGAAGGTGATCCCTCCCCCGCAACTAGAGAGTGAACCTTTTCAATTTCCCTCCCCAGCCCAAAACGCACGCGGGAGAATGAACCTTCTCAAGTTCCCTCTCCCGCTGGCGACGACAAGATTGGAAAGCACCACGGAGAAAGAAAACAACATCCCACGGTGACACAAGCACTGCGCCAGCAACACTTGGTCACTCCTCCTTGTCCGCCGTACGCACCTGGGAGAGCCACCCGGGACACAACGCAAAAACAGAAAACAGGCAAACCGCTGGAGACATCCCCACAAAACAGCTACGAACGGAGCCGTGAAAACACCCTTGGAAGCTCCCCGCCTGAGACATCCTCATCATCTGCTCTCCAAGCGAAAGATGTTGAGACAGAGAACAAGCAAACCGCTTGAGACATCCCCACAAAACGGCCGCGAACAGGACCGTGCCATACCCCTCGGCGGCGCCCTTTACGGGTGCTGAAACTAGAGCCCTGCTTGAGACATCCTCGCAAGCTGCTCTCCAAGCGAAGGATGTTGAGACACAAAACGAGCAAACCGCTTGAGACATCCCCACAAAACGCCGTGCCATACCCCTCGGCGGCTACCCTTGGGGGTGCTGAAACCAGCGCCCCGCCTGGGACATCTTCGCAAACTGCTCTCTAAACGAAGGATGTTGGGACCGAAAACAAACACATGCGACGTCCCCACAAACGGCCGCGAACGGGACCGTGCAATACTCCTCGGCGGCTCCCCTTACGGTGCTGAAACCAGTGCCCCGCCTGAGACATCCTCGCAATCTGCTCTCCGAGCAGAAGATGTTGAGACAAAAACCAAGCAAACCGCTTAAGACATCCCCACAAAACGGCCGCGAACGGGACCGTGCCATACCCCTCGGCGGCCCATGTTAGGGGTGCTGAAACTAGCGCCCCGCCTGAGATCTCCTCACAATCTGCTGTGCTGAGTAACTCAGACAATGAGAAGGTCTGAGTATGAGTAAATCTGGGTATGAGTGAGTCTCAGCATGAGTAAATCTGAGCATGCGTAGGTCTGAGTATGCGTAAGTTAATATGACCAGGTCTGCGTATGCGTAAAAATGTGTGTGAGTAAGTCAATGTATGAGTACATCTAAGTATGATGATGAGGAGGAGGAGGAGGAGAAAAGGAGGAATGAGGAGTAGAGGGCGTCGAAGTAATAACACGAATCCCACCTTGGATCTGGGGAGCAAGGGCGCCCCCAAAACGCGAGCGACATGTCGCCTTCTCGAGCGGGGTGGGCGCCACATCGTGCTACTGACACTCAACGTTGTAACGTCGACGACAAAACGTCGGTGTTGAAAAGGAAATCGTTGACAGCGCACCTTTTGCCAGGAGAGATGGGCCGTCACAGATTGGGTCACCGTCGGCCGGCCAAGTGGCAACGTAGGAGCGCGCACTGGGTGAACGTGAATCTTCTGGGGCAGGAGCGGGAGCACGCACTGCGATGGAAGAGGGGGAGGGAGCATGAGTACCTCGCATAAGTACGCGCAGGAGGGGTAGGGGTAGATCTGACTAACGAGAGGCGTTGGGGTCGGAGTGCGCTGCAGACAGAGGAGCGCAGAGCAGCAGTAGCTTTTACTCTATGTCGTCCTTGAAGCGCGATACTTCCAATATCTGATAACGCGCAGGGCAGCAGTACAGGGACGTCGCAGCCTGGGCAAACTGTGGCAACAACTCGAAATTTGCCACTTCATTCGTGCTCCGATAATGCCTACCACGACTAATCGGAAACTACGATGCATAATATAAAACATCGTCAGGAATGCTACAGCACGTCCGACAAGCCAGCCAGTGAGAGAATGGGGAGACGATCGGTACCCATATGCTGCAAGAGCTCAGGATTGAAGTGCGCCGGAGCAGGGTCCTGCAAAGCGTCACCTAGATGAGCAATGGCTCCCGCGCAGGCTTCCAGTTCAGCCGCCGTCACCGCAGCACCAAAACGTAATCCGAAACTCAGATCGGCAATCTGGCTGCGTTCTTCCAGGGCGTCCGCTGTGATGCGCCGAGAACCGTGGAGCACCCAGCCTCCGCCAGCGCCGCCGTCAGAGACGCTGCCATCACAATAGAGACAGAAATAGCTAATGGTACTGCTTGTACTGAAAACTAGTGGACGCTGTCCACTGAGCTGTACTGCTGGTGCTTGAAAACGTGCTGGTTCGCAAATTCGTCGCCTCTGCGTTGAGCTCGTGCACGCATGCCGTGCCCATTTTGCGCTGCAGTACCTCGGGAGCGCGCCGCGGGCCTCCACAAGCATCGCGATGGTGCGGTGTGCAACGCCGAACTGGGAGTCGTAGACCGCGTACTGACACTTCACGAGACCATTGATCCAGTTGATAATCAGAGCGCTGCCCCCCAAGATTTCGATCCTCGCGCCGGCGCCGTCTACTGCCTCCCAGTGCACGGGCTCTCGGACGACGATGCGAGGGCGCTTCTGTGGAGGTAGCTCGGACTGTCCGCCACCATCTGGGGAAGCATTTCTTCTGCGGCCGTGCCTTTGCTCGGGCGGAGTGGTATGCAATGGATGCGAATAGACCTTCTGCCTAAGACTTCCTTTCTGCTACACCCCATCCGCTCGTTGCAGCGATCGGTTTCCAGTGCTCCCCAAGCACTTCGACGAAACCAATCTCCCAGCGACGGTGCTGGCCACGTCTGCTGCGACGCCAATCTTATCGCCTCCCTGCTGGGAATACATTGTGGGAGTCGCAGGTGGGGGCAAGAGGAGACATGTTGTGAACCATCCATACAGGAAGATCACAATACGACCGATGGTCGATACTGAGATCAGCAGCAGAGGCCAGCGTAGAAGCCGACATCAACCAAACGAATGACACGCTCCCTCACGCGAGCGAGCTAGAACCAACTCTCCTCCCCCCTGCCTCCTCGTGCTTATACCTTCTCCATCGTGGGGGATGGGCAACGTACCGATGCTGCTACTCTCTGGACCTCCCCATGGGGTGCTTCCTGACCCAAAGGAGCAAATCGAAGCGGTGGCAGCGGCGGGCTCCGAGGAGGCCGAACGAGGGAAGGATAGCAACATTGGCACCTGGTCCTCTTCAGATCCTCGGCCAGCGATGACACGGCCAGTGATTGTCGGCGACTGCGACGGCAAGGGAGAGCGAAGATGCCCTGTCAGGCAGACGGCGGCTGGCGGCGGGGCCTTCACCGCCATCTGCTGTCCGAGCCCATCGCGCATGCTCTCGATCGCCTCCCGCTTCGCGGCGGCCTCTGGGAGGAGGAGGAGAAGAAAGAGGGAGAGAAGGATGTTGTAGGCTTCCAGGCTTCCAGGATGGCCTCGCGCGCGCTCCGAAAGGGCGCGAGGTTGGAGCAGAGAGAGAGACGGCAGTGGCAGAAAAGGAGGAGGACATCCCCCACGCCTTCTCCTTCTCCTCCCCTCCCTCCTCGTCCTCGTCCTCATGTTCCCCCTCCTCGACGACCTTCTCCTGCTCCGCCTATTCCTCCTCCGCCTGCCCGTCCTCTCCCGCCTCTCGCCAACCTCCTCCTCCTCCACCATTCCTTTTCCTTACAAGTCACTGCATCCTCCTCCTCATCCTCCTCTTCCTCCTCCTAGTCTTCCTCCTCCTCCAGCGTTTATCCTTACAACTACCTCCTGCATGTCGCACCCCGAGGCCGGTAGAAATGGCGCGGGACGGGCGTTTCCCCTGAGACTTCCCCATCACTCATGACACTGAAATTTCAACCACTGGCAACACTTTCAAAGATGGAGGGCGGATCGCGTCCAAAATGTGGTTCGGGCCTTAGCGCCGCGCACAAGTGGTGTCAGTCGTTTTAACAAACGCACAAACTTCACGGACTGAGGGCGGGTCGTGTTCAACATGTGGCTCTCACATCAGCGCCGCGTACATTCGTTTTCACCATTTGCAAGGGCTTGAAAGATTAAGGTCAGGTCGTTTTCATAATGTGACTCTCGCCTTAGCGCCGCGCACACTCGTTCGAAGAATTTGCAAGAGATTCACAGACAGAGGGCGGATCGTCTTCAAAATGTGGCCCTCGCCTCAGCGACGCGGACATTCGTATTCAAATTATTGGACGAATTTCGCGGGTTGCGGGCGGTTCCTTTTCAAAATCTGGCTCTCGCCTGAGCGCCGCACACACTCGCCTTAAACATGTGCCAGAAGTTTACGGATTCCCATGGTCAACGTGCCAGAACTCGTGTTCTGGCATGGCTCAGCAGTGTGAGGGCGCAACAATTACGTTGATTCGCCATGTTGGTTTCCACAGAATAGTCCCGGGAACAGTGTTTGGGCACGCTCCAGGGTCTTCAAACTGTTGTCCCACAGCGAGGAAGTGCCCACAGTGAAAATGAACCCTCTGTACGGACCTACGACGGGGGAGCTTCGAGGGAAGGTCGCTTGCAATCGCTGATGGATCTTAAGTCTGCACCGGCTCTCCTCCTCCTCCTCCTCCTCCTCCTCCTCATCATCATCATCATCACCATCATCAGCATCATCATCATCATCGTCATCATCATCGTCGACGTCGTCATCGTCATCATCATCGACATCATCATCATCATCATCACATCATCATCATCATCACCATCATCATCATCATCATCATCATCATCATCATCATGATCATCATCATCATCGTCATCATCATCATCGTCGACGTCGTCATCGTCATCATCATCGACATCATCATCATCATCATCATCATCATCATCATCATCATCATCATCATCATCATCATCATCACCATCATCAGCATCATCATCATCATCAGCAGCATCATCAGCATCATCATCAACAGCAGCATCCTCATCCCCATCCTCGCCGTCCTTCTCCTCTGTCGCCTGCCCCATCCCCCTCCTCGCCGTCCCCCTTCCTCATCCTGCAATGGGGGGGGGCGGGGCGACGCACACGCCAGCGAGGGGCACGGGGGGAGAAGGCACGAAAGGATGAAGGAGACATGCAACCAGGAGGGGAGGAGGAGGAGGAGGAGGAGGAGGAGGAGGAGGAGGAGGAGGAGGAGGAGGAGAAGGAGGAGGAGGAGGAGGAGAGTGAGGGGTGGGAGGACGCTGTGAGGGAGGAGACGAGGGAGGGGGGCGGAGGGGAAGGAGGTGGACTGCGTGGAACACATTCGCAAGCCGACGCCGAGGAGGACGATGCCGAAGCATGGAAGAGGGGGGCCCGCGGAAGGAGATCGGACAGTAGGAAGACGAGGAGAGGAATCACGGGGGCTAAAGGACGAGGAGATGCAACTAAAACATGCGGAGGGAGAGGAGGTGGATGGGGAGCGGCATGGGGGGGGGTGATCACCACTCACGAACGGTGGGCGAGCCCAAAAAGGAACGAGTGAGGCGGGTGCTGGGGAAGGGAAGAGTGGGGCGACTGAGCAGGAGGAGGAGGAGGAGGAGGAGCACGAGCAGGACCAGTCAGGAATGGGAGAGGAGGGTGAACAGGAGGAGGGTAACAGCAATTGCATTGTTCGGTTTGGGATTGGGCACGATCGTTTTGCCTGGGATGGGCCACAGGGAGGATACCACACTGCGCGAGGGGGATGCACGGACAAGGAGACCACGTGGAATAGACCGAGGGGTGAAGCACACGCACTTAGGATCCATCTCCATCGTATCCCCATCCCTCCTCCCTCCCCCCTCCCTCCCCCCTCCCTCCTCCTCCCTCCTCCCTCCCTCCCTCCTCCTCCTCGTCCTCCTCCTCCATTCCTCCTCCTCCTCCTCCTCCTCCTCCCCTCCTCCTCCTCCCTCCTCCTCCTCCTCCTCCTCCTCCTCCTCCTCCTTCTCCTCCTCCTCCTCCTCCTCCTCCTCCTCCTCCCTCCCTGCCTCCCTCCCTCCCTCCCTCCCTCCCTCCTCCTCCTCCTCCTTCAAGGTCGACGAGTGATGCTCAGTAAGTGTAATTCGCACCTAGATAGAGTTTCGCTAGCCTCCCTGGTCCAGACCCCCTGTGTCTCCCGAGGCAATGACCTTGCCGACAAATTCGCCCAACTAGGAGTTGAGCAGGTTTCAGCTGAAATCGACCCAGAGGTCAGAGATCTAGCCCGTGCTGAATTTAAAGTGTGGTTGGTCCAGAGGAGGCTGGCTATAGTCAACGCGGCGTCCGCTTGTGCCGACTACGAGCGTAAGAGCCGCCCGCGTAAGGATTGCCGTGTGCCGCCCGCTGCCTGGCGCGTAAGGAAGGCTCTTGAAGCGTCTTCGGGGCACCTGGTCTCCAAGGTCGGCCCCTCCTGGGTGTGTTGCCACTGCCAGAGTGGCCCTGGGAAGTGTTCTATTTTGGACTGGCTTCGCAGTGGCAAATGTCCAGGACCCCAGTACCATAGAGTAGAGTCTCAAGGTATACCTGTGCGCCTTCCCACGGGTGGTAGACTGGGGGCGGGCATCGTCGGCATGTGTAAAGGGCACCCCACCCCTGCAGGCCAAGAGGCTTTGAATAAAATTCGGCGTTGGGAGGTCCCCTCAACGAAGGGTAAGGCCGTGTGGCCCGATGGCACCCCCAATGCCCCCAGGCACCCAAAGCGTGAAGTGCGCCGCAAGGGTTAAGATAACCCTAGATGCGCCAGCGGCATATCGGCGGGATTTGCTGTCTGGTTAGTAATCGTCCTGTAATCGTCCTCCTCCTCCTCCTCCACCTCCTCCTCCTCCTCCTCCTCCTCCTCCTCATGCTCAGCTCCGCTTGCTTCCGCCTCGCCCTGCCCCGCCGCCACCCCCTCATCCCACCTGCCCCAGTCCTGCTGCCGCCTCGTGTGTATCGCCCTCCCGATCCTTCCCCCTCAGAAAAAGAAGGAACACTGACCAAGGAGGAGGATGCGGACGACGACAAGGAAGGAGGGGGAGGAGGCCGAGGACAGACAACAGAGCAGGAGCAGAAGGGGAATCGAGGAGCGAACAGGAAGAGGGATGAGCAGACAAGAAGAGGGCACGAGGGAAGAGGAGAACGACAATCGTGTTCTTTTGCCTTGGTCCCGTCCGTTTCCTTGGGGTGAGCCACAGGACGGAGTAGTAATTGGAAGGAGGAAGAGTCAAGGACAGGCAGACCATGTCGAACATAACAAAGGACGACGCCCGCCGCACTGAGGACAAGAGCCCCTTCCCTTGTACCTTCTTCTCGTCCCTACCCTTTCCTCCCTATCCACCCCCTCCTGCTCCTCCTCCTCCTCCTCCTCCTCCTCCTGCTCTTCTTCATTTTCATCCTCCTCCTTCGAGCTCCGTAACTTCCCGCCTCCACCCTCTCCTCTCCCCCCCTGACTCCTGCTGAATCATCCTTCTACCTCCCTCTCTCCCTCCCTCCATCCCCGCCCCCCGCCTCCCGCGCGCGCGCGGGGGAGGAGGGGAGGAGGGTGGAAGAAGGAGGAACGAAGCATGACAATGGAAGGACGACGAGGAGGCAGGGTGAAAGACCCTGGATGACGACGAGGTGGACGAGGAGGGGGATGGTGCAGATGGAGGAGGAGGTTAAAGGAGGAGGAGAAGGAGGAGGAGGAGGAGGGGGAGGAGGAGAAGGCGGGAAGATGAGGACGAGGTGGGCAAGGTGGACGAGGAGGCGGACGACAAGGTGGACGAGGAGGAGGAGGATGCAGATGGAGGAGGAGGGTAGAGGAGGAGGAGGAGGAGGAGGAGGAGGAGGAGGAGGAGGAGGAGGACGTTAAAGGAGGAGGAGGAGGAGGAGGAGGCGGGAAGATGAGGACGAGGAGGACAAGGAAGGACGGGCAAGGAACGAGGACGAGGAGGAGGAGAGAGGAGCACAACACCTTGGCCATGGACAGCCTGTCCTCCGCATCTTCCTGCCGGGGGGGAGGGGGCGCCGGCGCGCGCGGGGCGGGCGACCAAGCACTGGCTCCCGCGCGCAGCAGATTCACGGAGCGGCCAACGAGTCAATGAGGGCTCCGATGCCGTTGGGCGAGCGGCCTTCTCATCCAATGGGTGTTCTCGTGAATCGAGCCCACATCGGGGCGAGCGGCCTTCTCATCCAATGGGTGGGATCGAGAATCGGGATGTCGAAACGGCGGCGGTTTGTGAACCATGGGAGCAAGCGGGCGTGCGGCGGAAAGGCGGATGGGGAATGGTGAAACTACCGAACTGTTTTCTGTCGCAGCGCGACAGAGGCAATCCGCACGCGCGCTCTGCTGGGCCAGGCGGTGGCAGGCACAAGCTGTCCGGCAGCAAGTGGGGGAGACAAGGGCGCAGAGCGGTCGCGGAGGGGGGACGAGCGCCGACGAGGGGGGCGGGGGGCAGGGTCAGGGCATGCACTGGGGATGAAGAGGAGGCCATGAACTCTGGGAGGTGTCGTGGCCATGATATCCAGCCCCCCCTCCTCACCTCTCCCATCCTCCTTGCCATCGCCCGGACGTCCGTTCCCCGCGCGTTTTTCGGCTTCGCGCGTGTATGTATCTTGGGGTGAATGGCCCTCGCCGCAGCAACCATGTGCACGCGTCCGAGCGATGCCAACCCCTCGGGCGCCCCTGCCTTGGAGCCTCCGGAGGGGCCCCCCCGGAGACCTCGGGGAAGGCGCCTCCGGGGGCGTCGGGAGAGACCTCCGAGGACCTCCGTCGCGAGTCTGCCTCGAGCGGGGGGAGGCGCGCCCTGCGCCGCGTGCCGCCTCTCGCGGAAGCCTGGCGCCTCTCGGCCACGCAGCCCGCATACGGTCAGCTGCTGGGTCGTGCCCGTGGCGGGCCCGCTGCCCTGCCAGGGCAAGAGGGTGCTGAGAAGTGCGCAGGGCGCGCTGGCTCGCTCGAGATGTTGACCTCGACTTCTACGTGGGCGCCTTCTTCTGCTCCCCCATCCCCCACCCCCCTCTTCCTCCCACCTCTCCCAATCCTCCCCCTGCTCCTCCCTCTCCGTTCGAAGACACGCAAAGCTGACCCGAGGCTTGGCACGCGGCTTTCGGGAGCCAGTGGTAGGCAGAATTCAAGTGCGCAGGACATTGCGGACGGACCCCTGTGAGCCCGCACCACAGGTCACTCCGACGAAGGGGCCACTTTTGCGCGAAGCCGATTCGACTCCCCCTCCTCGCCCCGCTCCCTCATCCAGCGCATCGGTTTCCTCGTCCTCCTCCCTCTTCCCCGCATCCTGCTCCTTCTCCCCCTCCTGATCCATCGCTCCTGGCCCTCGCCTCCCCCTCCCGCCTGCTCCTGCGTTTTCTGCTGTCTCACGCGCTGACGCAACCCAGATGAAACGCAGGGTCCTTCAACGACGGCGACAGCCGCAAAAACGACGACGAGGACGACAATCGTCGCGCACGGTGACGGACACGAAGACGACGACCACGACGACCACACGGCGGCGACCACACGACGATAACGGCGACAGAAAGCGTTGACGAAAACGGGAAAAATTAAGAAAACGACGAGGACGACGAATCCGAGGACGACGACGACGACGACGACGACGACGACGACGACGACGACGACGACGACGACGACGACGACGACGACGACGACGACGGACGACAGACAAGGGACGACGCACGAGCGCCGACGTCGACGAAGACAGAGCGTTGACAGCACCGGCGACGACAGAGCCACGACGATGATGCTTGAGCTCGGCCAGCCTCCGCCTCCCCTGCCGCAGCTGGGGCGCCTGCTGGCGGTGCGCACAAATGGCTGGCGCGAGGGGCGCGCGGCCGGCCCAGCAACCGCCGGGCCGCTGCCCAGGGAGGCCTCTCGGGCGCCCTGGCCGGCCTCCCGGAAGGCCTTCTCGAGACGGCCCCAAGCCTTCCGTGAGCAGGGGCCGACCGGCCCAGCATTCTTACAGGCCTGCCACGACACTTTCTCAGAACCACAGGCTGTTCAACCAGCAAAGGCGGAGAGATTAGCACATGAAGCCGATGTAAGAACCGAACACGGTCTCAGCCAGAAATGATCGAAGAACATGTCGTGCAAAGCAAACACGGTGCTAGCACAGCCGGTGGTGGTTGTATAGGCAGGCCAGGGCGCTTCGCCACTGCTTGACAGAGGGCCCTCTCGAGACGGCCCCGCGCCTTCCCCCCGCGTGGGAACCTTGGCCGCCGCCGGCCGCGGCTGGGCCGCCGCCGACGAGCCCACGCGGCGCGGCGTCGCGAGCCCCCCGCGCCGTCAGGAGACGCTGTTCCCCTGCAGGGGGGCCTCCGCGAGCGAGACGGAGCCATCGGTCGGCGCGTCGACGATGGCAGCCGCCGAAAGGGCGCAGCGCCGAGGAGGCCCCCCCAGAGAGTCAGCCCAGATGGGGTCCGAGCGCTGCGTATTCGGGGACGGACTGGCCATCGAACACATCGGCATTTCTGTGGGGCGTTGTAACCCTGTGAGAATCGCACCCTGGGGTAAAAAAGTTCGGGGTACTGGGAGCGAGCCAGCAAGTCTTCGAAAACTTACGCTTCCCTGGATACATCCTCGCGAAAGTGATAATAAGGATTACTCGTGGTGCTATGCATGATGCGAAGATCAGAGCGGCGATGCGAACCTCTGGGGGTGAGTACTGCTTACGCCCCAGAATTCGCAACCTGCCACTTCTGGCAATTTGAACCCACATACACCCTGCGAAATGTTTAAGAAATCATGGGTTAAGAAATTCATAGCCTCAGATATTGAATAAAACCCCAACATTTCTATTACAAACTTAGGATTTAGATTGAAACGTTAAGAATAATCGAGACTCTGGCCGAAGACTTGGGTTTTCTTAAGCATCGCCTAAGGTGTACGCCCCGTGGAAAATTAGATGGAGGGGGTGAAGAGGTGGCGGGTCACCTTTACTATCCCCGGCACGCGGCCACATCGAGGGGTCGGAGTCCCCAGACGCATCCGCGATGCACCGGCGACGTCGGCCACGCATCGGCGACGTCAGCGTGGAGTGTAATGTACACCCTGCGAAATGCTTAAGAAATCATGGGTTAAGAAATTCATAGTCTCAGAACTTGCATAGAAACCCAACATTTCTATCAAAATCTTAAGGTTTACATTGAAACGTTAAGAATAATCGAGACTCTGGCCGAAAACTTTGGTTTTCTTAAGCATCGCCTAAGGTGTATGGGCTCCACTTCGAACCCCATCGCCGATGCCTCGGCGATGCGTCCTCACGTGCCCGAGTTTGGGGGGCCTGAACCCCGCGCCTCCTCGCGCCGTGGCATCAGAAACAAATGCGGCGAGAGCGTCTGGCCGGGCTCGGCCCCGCAAGGGGCCCTTGCAGGGCCGCAGGGCGCCATCGAAGAGCGCCTCGGGTCGAAACGCTGGCCCAATGGGCAAGAGCCGAAACATCCGAGGGTCCACTGATGGGCATGTGTTCCACAACCGCTACCACGGGGAGGATGGGGGAGAAGGGGGGATGGGCTGGTCCTCCCTTTCGTCGTCGTCCTCCTCCTCCTCTTTCTCCTCCTCCTCCTCCTCCTCCGCCTCCTCCTACTCCTCCTCCTCCTCCTCCTCCTCCTCCTCCTCCTCCTCCCCCTCCCCCTCGTGCCTATGATAATGATGGTGGAACATCGGCCTTTCACCCACACTGTGAACATTTGTGGCGCCCAAATCCTGGGCAGCGGATCCGTCCACAGCGCCTGAAAGCCCGTGGGGGGCCCATGCAAGAGCGGTCGCGAGGACGTTTGGGGAGCCTGCGAGCTCGAGAGAGGAGGAGGGGGAGGGCGAGGAGGAGGAGGAGGAGGAGGAGCAAGAGGAGGAGAAACAGGAGGAGGACAAGGAGGAGGAGGAGGAGGAGGAGAAGGAGGAGGAGGATAGTAAGGTGGAGGAGGACGACGACAAAGATACTCACGGACTGGTTGAATCTTCATCAATGCCGAATTCCAATCCTTCGAACTCGCTTGGACCGCGGAGCCTGAGAGTACGACGCACCTCTTAGCATGTAGGAACTACACCACGAGGCCGCGTGCACCCATGGGAACGCAAGGCCGCATCACCCGTGCATAAAATGCCGACCTGGCACGGCAGGGCTGACAAGGCACGGGAAGTGCACATTAAATCATTTGTGGCCCCTGGTATCTGGTTTCTTTCTGCCGACTTCTCCAGCGAAGCGCTGCTAAACGCTGTTCCCAAGAGGTCTCTGAGGAGGGAGGACGGGGAGGAGGACGAGGCTCAAGAAAAGGCGAAAGAGGGAGAAAAGCGTCCCTTGCTAGACCTGCTGTCTGACCTACTATACTACTCTGGCTGTCTATCAGAACTGTTGCCACTCTAGTCAACTCAGAAGGCCTTCTCAGGAGGCCGCGGGACTTCTCAGGCCTCCAGCCTTCTGAAAGGTATTCCCTGTCTCCGGGGGACTTCCAAGCCTCCTGGCTTCCAGGCCATAACTCGGGTCCCCGGTGGCAGTTCGGGGCGACCTGGGCACCCCATGGAACGCCCCCCGCGAGGCGCAGCTGCTGGAGCGCACCCCGAGGCTGGAATCTCGACGACGACGACGCCAGGGAACCTCGAACCTGGAACCTCGAACTTCCCCCCGTCGCTCGCCGCCGAGTCACTCCTACGAGTGGTTGAACGCATGCCCTCCACGGGCCCTCTTCAGGCCAAGGAGAGCCCAGAATCGAATCGATGTCAGATCGGCGATGGAAATGAGTCGGACCGGAAGAAATCGGCAGCCGAGTCGGGAAGAGTCGAATCGGCGGAAATCGGCAGGCCAGTACGCGCCCAATAAGAAATCGGAAGCCGAAACGGAACCCCCAGAATCGAATCGGAATCGGACGCCATCGATATCGAATCGAATCGAATCGAATCGGAGCAGTCGGCCCCAGCTCTTCATCCCGAATCCTTTTTTGACGGTCCCGGGGGCCTGTGAGGGCCTCCAGAGGCCGAGAATCAGGAAAAACCCGCCGTCATGATGTTTTCATTGCTCGAGATGTTCTGGGCCCGCTGGCCTCCTCGGCGCGGCGCACTCGGCGAGCCGCCCCTGGGCCCGCGCGAGCACCGCCCGCGCCGCGCAGCCCGCCGCAGCGCGCCGGCCACGGGCAGGAGCGCCACGGTCCGCAGGCCGCCCCCCGGGCGTGGGGCCCGCGGGCG